AAGTGCCGCCATACTGTTCTGTATGTGCTGTCACCCTGGTAACCTGTTTCCTGTATTAACCTTTGTTCCCTTTGTGAGGGACAATTGTTCCTGGAATTAGTCGACCTCGAGTTTCCTATATTCCTCTCTACCTTTGTCCCCCTTTTGTGAAAGATAGTTGTCCAGCAATTAGCCGACCACAAGTCATCAAATTCCTGTAAAGGAGGAGTTCATTGACCACCAGTGGTGAAACTTCCCGTAAGAACACTGTCCTCAAGCAAAAAGGCAACAAAGGTTTTCCTCAACCTAATTCTCCTCCCACCTGCAACTTTGTGGTTTTTCCATTTATAAGCCTGACAAAATTTTAACCTGGTTACACAGCTTTGCAAACTCTAACTGCACTGTGTCACCTGGTGCCAGCTTAAACAAACTGCTTCTTTTTCTTTTAAAAGATGTCTTGCCCCATTTTTGGGCAACATTTCAGGGTCTTGTTTTTTGGGGAACAACAGTTGCTTTCCTCTCTTGGCTGGAACAAAATACCCAACACCCCATGTGAAGGGGGAAAAAAGCTTATTTAGCTCACTGCTTATGGAGGTTTTCATCTATAATCAGCTGGCTCCAAGGCAGGGTGGCTTGGTACAAGGTCAACACTTCAAGGCAGCAGCCAGAGCAAAAAAGCTGAACAAGCCCCTTCTCCTCCCTTGTATTGTAAGCAGGCTACCCCCCAATTAGGGTGTGGGTAGCACTCACATCACCTCTGTGCTCTCCTCTTGCACAGGATGAGGGTATTTACAAAGTGAAGATTCTGGCTCCCTGTTGAGTCTCTCAAATTTCTAGCCTTCTCAAGTTGAAATAATATATCAACCATAATAACAAAGACAATTTTACTAAGTCAAGGTACACTTTTAGATACATTGTCTACATTGGATTGCAATACCTTTTTTCTTTCCCTTTTTTCCTATAACCTTTTATTTCTATAAAGATAGGTAGGTAGGTAGATAGATAGATAGATAGATAGATAGATAAACTTTTGTCTAGAATTTTTATTAATTGTTAGAGAAAGATCAGACTAAGTACCCACACATCATAATGCTCTTTCAAATATGTAACATTTGAGTGCTATTGTTACTTTCATTTTAAAAGTTTCACTTCATGAATAAACATTAAAACTGTAATAAACAGTAAAAATTATCCTCTTTTGACTTTCCCTGATTCATTCTGAGAAATTGTTTCTGTAGCAAGTGTTCGAGTTATTTTTTCAAGTTATTTTATTGTAGAGTTTTTAAAATTTACTATTACAAGTTAATATAAGAACTAATAATTAATACTGATGTCAATTTTTATATGTTAGATTTACACTAAGAAATGAGAAATTTGGCACATATATTACCTCACAATCTCTTGATTTTTGTTGCTATTATAATGTTTCTAATATTTAAATTCTATCATGTTATAATTAAGTTCTTGAGTTTGTATAAATTGATTTCAACTCAATTTTTTAAAAAATTTAAATCATCACTATTATTCTCTGCAGAAATAACTAGTCTGCCCAGAAAAGCAAATAAAATTGTATCACCAAACCACTTCTTCTTGAAAAATATCCCAAGCATGAGCTAAAATATATTCCTTATTTATTTGTTTTCACTTCTCATTGCTTCATCCAAAAAATGCTGAAATTTGTTTTCTTTGTTTATGCCATCATTCTTTAGTCTCACTTTTATTAGTCTACTAGAGCTACTACTTAAAGATACTAACTTTTCTGAGCTCTTGCATGCCAAAAAATTATTCTCTTAATTCATTTAATTGAAATTTTGGAAAGAAGGAGAAAACTATATTCAAAATTATTTCCTCAGACAAACTTGATAAAATATGACTCCATGACTTCTAAGCTCAGAATGTCACCAGTGTTGCTAAGCAAGTGGCTGAAATCCATTACTTTTCTCATCCCTTTTGAAACTACTAGTTACATTTCTGTGGAAGCTTCAAGTGTGTTCTCTTTATTTAGAGTGTTCTGAAAATGCAAAGTAATGTCAAAAGAATATAGGTCTTTTAAAATTCACTTTCTTGGCATTCTGTATGTTCCTCAAATTAGGATTTCTGCCTTCACTCAGTTTGGGATAACTTCATATCAAATATTCTCAACTCTTATTTCAGAATTTTGGTCTTTTGTTTTATTTTGTTTTTTGTTTTCTTGTTTGTTTGTTTTGGCATTGGGACGAAACTCAAGACCTTGTGGTTGCCAGGTAGACACTTACACCACTGACCTAAATCCCCAGCCCTGTTTATCGAATGCCTAATCACTAGATGTCTGGTTTGCATCCATCCTTATTTTTTTCAATATTTTTACCTTTTTATATTCAACTAACACTTATGTTATTGTTTTCTTAAAAGAAAATTTGGCAACTTATAAAAATGGAAGATGTTTAAATATTTTCATGTAAAGTAAAAACTATAAATCTGATTCTATACCTCATACATTTGCACAATTATTTCAAATTTGCTCTGAGATCAACAATTTGAACTTTTCATTATCTACATAGTGTTTGAACAGTCATTTTCATATGGGATTCAAAAACCAACATTTTCTACGTGACTCAATTATTTCACTACTTGACAAACCAGTGTCCTTCCCAACACTTTTAATTATAGGTAAACAATGCCAAGAAAGAAAACACTAAGAAAGGAGTTTTCTGATTCAAATACAGATAAAGTTAACAGAGAAAAATATAAATGAGGTAACAGTGGCTCGGGGAACAACTCTTCTTCCTTTGGAATAGATCTGCATTGTCATCTCAAATAAAACATAAAGTATCACATACACATGTGCACTTTTACATGTGCTGTCAGATCATTTTTCTTTCCTAATACTCGTAATATGATAGAAACAACTTTGAATTCAACCTATTTCTAAGTTTAAAAACACTTTATGAGTAACACATTATTTATGTCATATTTCAAAGTGAGTCTTGAGATATACACCAAAGAAACTCACTGGAGAAATACAAGCCAACACTGAAATTGGGATGAAAAAATGATCTATTGAAATAGCACATTACTTAACAATTACTGAAATCTACTATATGTCAAGAGTACTATATGATGTCTTTAAACTGTCTTTTAAATTTATAGATATAAAGAACTCATAGAAACTTGATTCTAACTTCAACCCTATTTCAGATTCAGTCAATTAATGCCTTGACAAAAAATGAACCCATTACTGAATGCCTCTCACTAAATTAATCTAATTCTTATGATTTCCTAGATATTCTGTTAAAATTATTAATTAACCTTGCATTTGTCCTTCCTTAGATTAGCCCATCTTGATCTTGTATTGGCAATTTCACTACTAAAAATATTATAAATTGACTCTTGGCATTGTCACAACTGGTGAAATTTTACTTCAGCAATCAATGCTTTCTATAGCTGTCTGACTACATTTTAAACATGGCAATAGTCCTGCTGATAATTTATTATTAATATCTCTCAAAGGTATTATTGAACACATGGGGCTACATTGTGATATTGTGTTGGAGACCACTATGAAGCAGCTCTGAGCAGGATTTAAAATTAACTAACCAGCTTTCTATGTTTACCTGTGAGTCTGTCCTAGGCCTCGGCCCCTTGCCTGGTGATGGGAGCTGATTCACAGTAAGTGAACCTCTATGAATCACTGGTCCTGGGTGAGGCCAGTAGTGGCCTGTGAGGCCAGAGAGACCTCAAAGGGCAAGATAGGGTCATAGATGAAGACAACCTTGGCTCCAACACTAATTAAGAAAATAGAGACTGAAGCCAAAGGAATTTCACTCCTGCAGTCACACTACTACCATAAATGTCATCTTGGAAATAAAAAATTTCTCCTAAATTGGCATAATTTACTACTTAGAGAAGCCTTTGAAATGACTCCCAAGGTCCTGGTCATCTCTCACACTTTCCTCAGTTTCCCACCTTCTGTTGTTGGACCTAATAAATAAAGTGGGTGGTCCAGAGAAATCTTTGTTATAGCCCTCGGTGTCTCGAGCTTGGGTAAAGGGTTTTGACCCTCCTGGAGCCCTAAAATCATATAACTTGTCTCAATTTATTTAAATCTCTGCCGGACACTTATTTGGGAGATCGGGGATCTAGGTCAGGACCTCATAATATTTTTCTCAATCTGTTGGGCCCCTATAAAAAATATCGTAACTGTGTAGCTTGTAATCAATATAAATTTATTTCTCATAATTCATATACCTAGAAAGTTCAAGATCAAGGCACAAACAGATTCTATGTCAAGTGTAGGTTTGGTCCCTTCTCAGTGGGTCCTCATATGGTAGGGAATGAAGTGTTTCATGGCCAGTTCATAAGGGGCCTAATTTCATTCCAAAGGGCTCTGCCAGAAATTACCTCCTAACAAACACCATAACCTTGGGGGATACGATTTTGACATAGGAATTTGGGGGGAAACCACAGCAAATCACTCGATCTAACTTTTTAGCTGTAAAATTTATTTTGATCTTTTTCTAAATTCAATCTGAATTTGAATGAAATAGTCAAGCATTTATTTTAAAATTTAATCTGCTTTACTATTTTTAATTTATTCATTATTAGCTATTTCTTAAAAACACTAATCAGTTAGGAAAACTCACATCTACAAAGCTTAAAAAGAAGTTAGCAAGAGTGAAAAAATCACTGAGGAATTCTAAGTTTCAAAATAGATTCAAATTGAAAGGTGAAAATTACATTATGAGTAAACTATATGGATAAACTGTATTAGCAGTAAGCTTCCTGTTAAGTATTCAATGAGTTTAACTTTCCTTTATGTCTTAAGATTGAAGACCTTCTAATTCTACAAAGAATATTCCAATGTTGCTTTTTTCTTAAAGCAACAATGGACTCTGGCTAATTTCCAAGAATTTTGTTTAACACAAAATATAGAAATATCAGGATAGTAAGATATGTTGCAACACATTAACAGGTGCCAAACTCAGGCCCTAAAGTGGTATTCATGCTGTATAGTGCCCTCCATGTTACAGGAGTCTTCTTACCATAGCAGGTACTTTTCTAGTTCTTTCTGTTCTTGCCAAGTTAGTAGCACGTCGTTTAGTCAACTTATGTAGCAACTTTTTTTTGCCAGGAATTCCACCATCCTGTGAATTCCAAAACACATGCTGAAAGAAGGAAATAAAAGAATATATAATTTATTCTTATCAATATTGTAATTTATTAATACAATGATAAGTTTGCAATGAATTTTATCAACATTGCTGTTATTAAATACACATATATATTCATAAAAACAAAATTTTTACATAGAATATAAATAAAAAGGTTTTGGTCTATAATATATTACCAGGGAAACAAAGTGGATTACGTGAACCTCTAGAAAATAATGATGGGTTCAAATACATTATTTACAGATATTCAGAGTGAGTTTTTAGGTACACAACAATATCAAATTCAGCTATCAATCTTGTTCTATTTCACAACCAACAGATATAAGCATAAGGTATTTATTCTACTATGTAGTGTTATTTTCACTTTATTACTAATACATAAAGCATACCAGCTGTAACTACTTAACTTAATTATGTGGCAATTCTGGAGTTATATATTTCCTAAACAAAATAGTCAACAATCTATTACATAATAATCCTTCATTTGCATTGAATATGTAAATTAATAGGATAGAGGAAGTTTGCAATCTAAAATTTTAATTAGTAACTAAACCTTACACTCTTTCTGATTTATCATAATTTATTCATTTAGATTTGTTTAATAATTTAAGTTGTATAAACAGCAGCAACTTTTTTATACAAAAGGGATAAAGATTTTTCATTTTGATATACTACCATTTTTACTTCACAATTTTATGTTTAATACTTTAGAATTTGACACAGTAGAAGTGGGGTTATGTATGGAGACATTAATTTACTAAACAAATATCCAACCCTAACACACGCTATCTGTGAAATTGTTTTTCTGACCTAAATGCTGAAGTTGTCATTTCTCCACTATTTTCTTCATATTATTTCTACCAAGTCACTTAAAGTATGTAGAGTTTATCACTTTCAAAAATGAAAGTCACAGTCATAGCTTACAAAATTTGCAAAAGCCTTCAAATACAGCAACATCTGAGTCAGCATTATTACTAAGTGGTTTTTATAGTTTTAAAGTTAATAAATAATTTACTTTTATAGTTACTGTGCTATTGCTAAGCACATCATCCTAGAAATTTTGATACAACGAAGTTCCAAAGAATTTTGAAATTTTTATTAGTTAGGGCATACAAGTATTCAACCTTCAATAAACTTTAAAAAAACAAAAAAATAATAATTAAATTATAATTATAGAGAATAACTAAAAGTAAACCTGATAAAACATCACAAAATTCTCTTTATTAAAGGCCTCATGGAGCAGTAGAATTAGCACAGGTGACAAGGTTAAAAATCCGAAGCAGGTAGAACCTTTGAGAGATGAACTATCAAACAGATGGTTCACCCTGGCACATTTTTCTGATAACAGGCAATACACCAGGAATTAGGCTTAGACAGCACAGGGCTGCCGCTAAGGAACTGAGACAGCATCTTACTGCCTTCTTGTTGTAACAGAATGACAAATGTGCAGATCTGAGTATCTCAGAACACAATGTCTGTTTCTCCATAAAGATACTTACTTGCAAGAAATAAAAGCAGGGAGAATATAGCTAAAAATATTTAAGCCAAAAAACTAAGAGATACAGCCATCAAATATTATATATTGTTAAGAACAATCTAGAAAATGCTTCTCAGGTTGGCTTGAAGAAATTCCCAAAGGATTACACATGAGAAAGTGAAATCGCAGCACGAAATGACAATTCAACAGCTTCAAGATGATGGAATAGACACAATATAAGACTAATAGGCATCAGTGAAGATGTAGGAGTCAATGCAAATGACATCAGTAAACTAATCACAGAAGTAATAACAGAAAATTTCCCAAACATGGGGAAAGAATCTGATACACAGATAAGTAAGGCATACAGATGCCAAACAGTCATAATCAAATCTATACCCAGACATATAATAATTAAGACCCCAGACATACAGTATAAAAACGCAATACTAAAAGCTGTTAGAAAAAAGACACAATTCACCTATCAAAGAAATCCCATTAGAATCATGGCAAACTTTTCAGCACAAACCCTCAAGTTAAGACAGTCTTAAAGTGAAATATTTCAAGCCATGAAAGAAAATAACTTTCACCCTGGATGGTGTACCCTGCAAAATTTTATTTCAAATGTAATGGAGAATTAAGGTACTTTCATGACAAAGAACAACCGAAGAAATTCATGTCTACAAAACCAACCCTAGAAAGAGTATTGAAGCACATAACTACATAGAGATAAAAATGACTAGAATTTCCAGAACAACAACAGAAAGAAACCACCAGACAGGGAAAGCAATTAAACAAGGGTAAAAATCAGAAATCCAACAGCAAGAAAATCACATGACAAAGTCAAGTCAGTACATATCAGTAATATCTATCAATGTAAATGTAAATTCACATCTTAAAAGAAATAGATCGATAGAATAGATCAAGTAACAGAATCCAACAATATGTTGTATACAAGAAACACATCTAAACAACAGGAAACTCATAGACTAAAAGCCAAATGATGGAAAACATTATTCCATGGGACAGGAATCCAGATAAAAGCTAGGAATAGCTATTCTATTTGCAGACAATGTGACCTTCAAAACAAAAATGATCAAAAGAGATTTTTTTTTAAAAAGTAACCACATACTAGTCAGGGGAATAATTCAAGAAGAAGAGCTAACAATCATAAATATATATGCACCACATAAAGAAGCAGTAAACTATGCAATACAAGTACTACTAGATATGAAAAGCCAAACAAGCAACCACACAATTATAGTAAGGGACCTTAATAACCCATTGGACAAAAAGATAGATTAACTAGACAAAAAGTCACTAAAGAAATAACAAAACTGAATCAAACCTGTGAGCAAATAGACTTAGTAGTAGACTGGGTAGACAGAGTGTTCTACCCAGCCACATCAGCATACACATTCTTTTCAGCTGTGTATGGGACATTCTTCAAAACAGACCATTCCTGAGTAAATGTAAAGGGATTGAAATTATCCCATGCATATTATATGGAAATTAATGGTAAAAGATATGGCAACCTGCATAAATACATGGAAATTAAACAACAACCCCCTGAACAATCAACAATCAACAGGTGAAATTAAAGAAGAAATTAAGCAATATCTAAAATTCAATGAAAATATAGATACAGCATAACAAAACCTGTGGAATGCAAAGAAAATAGCCCTAAGATGGAAATATATAGCAATAAATTGTCACATCAAGAAAACAGAACAAGCACAAATAAACAACTTAATGCTACATTTCAAGTATCTAGTAAAAGAAGAGCAAATAAAACCCAAAGTGTGTAGAAGAGAGGAAATTATAAAGATGGAGCAGAAATTAATGAAATTCAGACTAAAAAAATAATACAAACGAAGAGCTGGGTTTTTGATAAAGTAAAAAAATTGATAAATCTCTAGCCAACGTTATCAAGAAAAAGAAAGAAAAATCTCAAATTCATGTAATAAGAACTGAAAAGAGAGAAATTACTACAAATCCTATGGAACTCCAAAGATCATGAATATCTACTTTGAAACTCTACTCACTTAGGGTGAAAAACACAGAGGAAATGGACAGATTGCTAGAAACATATGAACTACAAAGCTCAATCAAGAAGATATAACAATTTTGAATAAACCAATATCAGATACTGGAATTAACAATGTGATTAAAACTTACCAACAAAGAAAAGACCAGGTCATGATGGATTCATGGCTGAATTCTATAAGAAATTTAGAGAAGATTTAACACCAATACCTTCAAACTCTTCAATGAAATTGAAAGGGAAGCAATCCTCTCTAGCTCATTCCTGGAGGCAAGTATTATTTTGATACCAAAACCAGAGAAAGAACTAACCAAAATAGAGAACTATAGGTCAGTCTCACTAATGAACATTGATGCAAACATTCTCAGTGAAATGTTGGCAAATAGAATGCAGCAAATCATCAAGAAGATTATACATCATGACAAGTGGGGTTTATCCCAGGAATGCAGGGATGATTTAATGTATGTAAGCCAATGAATGTAATCCACCATATCAAAAGAGCCAAAGACAAAAATCACATGATCATCTCAACAAAGAAAAAGCTTTTGATAAATTCCAAAACTTGCCCATGATAAAAACTGTATAGAAACTCAGAATGCATGGTATTTACTTCAATCTGATAAAGATCATCTATTACAAACCAACAGCCAACATTATGGCTAAATGGACAAAAACTGAAAGTTTTCACTTTAAAATCACAAACAAGACAAGGATGTCCACTATCACCATTCCTATTCAATATAATTCTGGAAACATTAACCAGAGCAATAAGACAAGAGAGTAAAATAAAAGGAATAAGGATAGGAAAGGAAGAAGTTAAATTATCACTGTTTGCATGACATGATATTCAATATAGAAGACCCAAAAAACTACATCAAAAACTACTAGTTAATAAACAAATTCAACAATGTAGCTGGATACAAAGTTAACACTAAAAAATCAATAGCATTCCTGTACACAAAAAACATTCACTGAAAGAGAAATTATGGAAATAGAATCTTTCACAATAGCAGCCAAAAAATGAAATACCTAGGAATCAATCTAACCAAGTATGTAAAAGAACTATATGTTGAAAATTATACTACATTTTAAAAAGGAGATTGAAGAGAATATTAGAAAATGGAAGGATATTCCTTGCTCTTGCCTAGGAAGAATCAACATTGTGAAAATGGCCATACTCCCAAAACTGTTACACAGATTTCATGCAATCCCAATCAAAATACCATTGACATAATTACAAATCTACAAAAAACATTCCTGAAATTCATTTGGAAACAGAAGAAACCTAGAATAGCAAAGGCTTTCTGGGCAACAAAGGCAAGGCAGGGGGAATCTTAATTCCTGACTTGAAATCATACTACAAAACTACAGTGATAAAATCAGCAAGGTACTGGCAAAGAAACAGACCTAAGAATCAATGGAACAGATTATAAGATGCAAACACAACTACAAAGCCACTTTATATTTGACAAA